GATTTGTCCACGAAAGCTCACATTAACGTATAGCAGTCAGTCTTTAAAGTACCACAATGTTTTGATCTTCTTTATTTTGTATTTGTCTTTTGTTTTTGTCTAATATGTGATTGACTCCCAGAACCTGTTGTTGTTGTTGTTTGTGGGAAGGGTTGGTTTTTTTGTTTAGGAAAAAAAAATCTTCAGGAGGCAGTGATCCAAACTGAGCATAAATGGGGGCTCCCCATGCCATTTTCCTAACATGGTTGGGAATGAAATTTGTATTTATTTTATTTATTTATATCATTTACATGCCACCTTTCTCCCCATAGGAGACCCAAGGTGGCTTACAACAGAAAACACTATAAGATAAATGTAATTTAAAATACTATATAACTATCATATTAAAAAGCAATTATGGTAATCCTATATTAAGATTAAAAGCAATTCAAAAATATTTAGAAATCTGTGAATTAAAAACCAGCATTCCTGAGGTAATGTATTCACGAAGGCATTCCTGAGGTAACTTACTGCTTAAAAGTCTGCCTGAAGAGAAAGATCTTTGCCTGATGATAGTGGGGACAAGAGGAAAGGGGCCAACATGGCTTCTCAGGGCAGTACCAGTCCTTGGAAAAGTTACTTTTCTGGATTTATAAGCCCAGAATCACCCACCCAGCATGACAGGTAGACAGGCTGACTGGGAGATTCTGGGAACTGTAGCTGAAAGAAGGAACATTTCCAAGCTCTGAATGGCATTTTGTGGTCAGTGGAGTGGGGAGATATTCAATAAGACAATAATAAACAAAAATTTAAAATATTTTCACCACCTTTCTCCTTAGAAAAGGACCCAAGGTGGATTACAGCTTTTAAAGACGACATTTAAGAACAAAACAATGAATATACAAAGGGGGGCATACAACATTAAAAGGCAATATTTAAAGCTAAAAACATTAAGCATGGAAATATTAAAAGGAACAAACAAACAATAGGGGAGTGATGTGTGAGCACACACACACCCCCGTGCATTATGGTCCATATTCAGACTGGGAATCTCTCCCACCCACCCCAGCTGCTCACCCTAAACAGAAAAACACACCTATGGAGAGCTTAGCATGTCATTGCCGAAGCATAAGTGGGTTTAGGAGAGCATCTTCAGACACTTTTATCCACAAGGGTTTACCGGGCTTAAAAAAAAGTAAGGCACGTAGCTGGCCTTTTGCATCTCCTAACCTCATGGTTGCTAAGGCGTTTTGGGGTTGGCGCTAAGATGGTGGAGTGAATTTTAAAGCCATGCCCAGTTTCTGTGACGGTTCCCACAAAGATGTAGAGATGAATGAGGCAGGAGGAGGCCAGAGCGGCGCTTTGTGAGAAGTCTCCTCTTTACACACAAATATCTAAAAACTATTAATTTGGGAGTAGCAGCTAGGAAGAAAAGCATGAAAGGAAAATTGATTTCTATTTAAATAGTATGTTTTCATCACCTTTTTTCCAGGCCTGAACATTCATCTTTGAGCACCTGTGCTAATTGATTTCAAGTGCAATTCGACGCAATCACTGTAGAATAATAAATCTACGCCCAAGGAGGCCGAAGAAGGAATGTCAGCTAATGCTAGAAGACCCCAAGAACAGTGATTGGAAAGCAGGAAAATCGCATGCTAACACCAGAGACACCTGAGGTTTTGAGAAGAACACAAAATGTATAGGAGGATGAAGGCAGCTGCAAGGATGTTAGCAAAATCAGGTCAAATTGCAGCTCCCCTCTGCCGGATGCTTCAGGATCCACGTGAACATCCTAATTACCCTTTGGGGCAAAACCATATAAAACAACTTGAGTACTATCATTTCTTACAGGCATAAAGTCAAACTGTATGGAGGGGTATTTAATTTAGAGAAATAATTCAGCGCGTGGTATAATTAAAATGGCTCACAGTTAATATGAAAGTTGACATTAATCTAGGTAATGTTCGCAACTCAGGAAGGAATTTGGAAGGAAACCTTAAATCTAAAAGAAGAGAAGAAAAATGAGACCAGACTCATCATCATGAAAAGGAAGAAGAGGTAGGATCAGAACAGGTAGATGGACAGACAGTTCCTTACTTTTTCTTCCATTCATTCATTTGTTTCTTTGTTCATTTGTTTTATTTATTTATTTATAACCTTCCTTTCTCCCAATAAAAGGGCACAAGATGGCTTTGAAAATATTGAAAAATAATTAAAAAGCAAACTATTTGGGCAGTTCAAAGATAATAAATTGCTACCTTAATATATTAATACATGCTTTGTTAATGCTGCTGCACCAGTTTTAACTGTGCAAAATCACTTCTGAAAACTAGGCATCCAGGTTCAGAGATAGATCTGGGAGCAACCCCTAGAGAAGCACTTGTGTTTTCAGAGGGAGTGTAATTCCATCCAGCACAGGCTGTATTCCCATTCCTTGTTCTGCCTTTCGACTGACCAGGAGCACCTCTATCTTGTCTGGATTAAGTTTCAGTGTATTCACCCATTACTAATGTCCATTACTGACATTAGACGCTGATCTACAGCCGTAATAGCGTCCTCGGATTTAGATGGCAAGGAGAGATAGAGTTGGGTGTCATCTGCATAGTGGTGACACCAAACCTCAAAACTCTGGACAATCTTTCCCAGCAGTTTCACATAGATGTTAAATAACATAGGAGACAAAACTGAACCCTGAGGGACCTGCAGGCCAGAAGCCAGGGTGTCAAAAAGGAGTCCCCCAGCACCACCTTCTAAGTGATCTCCTCCAGAAAGAACTGGAGCCACTGTAAAACAGTGCCTCCTACTCCCTTTCCAGAAAGATGGGCCAGGAGGATACCGTGGTCAATGGTACTGACAGCCACTGAGAGATTCAGCAGAACCAACAGGGACACTTCTCTTGTCCAGTTGAGTTCCCGGTGTAGGTCATCCACCAAGGTGACCAGAGTGGTCTCCATTCCATAACCAGTCCTGAAGCCTGATTGAAATGGATCTAGATAATCTGTCTCATCCCAGGAACCCCTGGAGCTGAGAAGCCACAACCCACTCCAACACCTTGTCCAAGAATGGAATATTAGAGACAGGTTGGTGATGATTCAGTATTGTGGAATCTAAGGAAGGCTTTTTCAGCAATGGTTCTACTATTGCCTCCTTTAAACATGCTGGCATCCTGCCCTGTTGAAAGAAGACAATTGAACAGCCCCTTTCTGGCAGCTTTTATAAGCCAGGAAGAGCAAGGGTCCAACAGACATGTGGTAGCCTTCACTTCTCCAAGAGTCTTGTCCACATCATCAGGCTGCAGAAACTGAAAACTCCTCCATTAAACACAGGGCAAAAGGAGTCATAGTTACATTCACAGAATCTGAATCAACAACAGCATCCAAATCAAAGTGGACCTAAGTAATTTTGTCTCCTGTGGGGTTTGCATTATTTTCCTTTGAGCCATGATGTGATAGGACCTTGAATACTGAAAAGAGCTCTGCCAGGTGACTGTGCAGATGCAATGGTGGCAGAGAAGAATGACTTTTTTGCCTCTACCACTGCAATGGAATAGGCCTTCCAGTGGCCCCTTCCATTGCATTTCATCAGAATCACTCTGAGTTTTCTGCCATCGTCCCTCCAGTCTATGCCCCTCCTCTTGTTTCATCACCATGAGGAGCTAGTCTGACTTCAGTCCATGGGAAGGGATGCTTAGGACCAATCATAAGGACTTCCCTGGTCAGCTTCTCACTCTGAGAGGTCAGCCTTCAAAAGGGACAAAAAAAAAACCTCCCCAAGAGCCCTCAAGAATCCATTTGGATCCACCAGTCTCCAAGGGCAATCGATCTTAATCAGCCTCTCAGCCCTTCAGAGACTCTGAGTTCCACGGAGTCTAAATCCCCCCTACCTTTACAAGCAGTGATGAGTTCTTGACAACAGAATTGCAGAGAGCTCCTCACGTATTTAGGTCACCATCATCCCACCCAGTAAAACAAAAACAAAACCAGGTCCAGAGGGTGTCCTGAGGCACGGGCGGGATCAGAGGCGCTTTGACCATCACAGCTGGGCAGGGGAACCTCAGCCAATGAGAGGACGGAGGGTGGTGCAGAAGTGGGAGGAGCTGGGTTATATAAGGGGTGTGTGAGGAGTTTGGAGGGATCAGTTTTGGAGAGATGAGTGATTTGAGTGAGAGAGTGAGAAAGAGCCTGTCAGTGAGTGAAAAGTCTGTGTGAGCTAGTGTCTGAGAAACAGTGATTGTCAACTTAATTTTATAACAGTGATTCACCCTTTTTATTTTGTGTAATCAATAAACACTTTATTTTGTCTAAAAGAAACCCTTGTCCTTTTGATTCTAAGGATAGGTTGGTGGCAGCAAGTTTTTGAGGAGAAGTAGTGGGCACTCTTATAGGCCTGGATGGGTAGAGGCTTGAGAGTGGCCTGCTACAGGCGGGGTCAGAGGCACTTTGAACAATTTAGGGAAACTTTCACGAGAAAAAGGAGTTCTCCTAGTCTCATTCTTGCTCAGAGGTGAGAAATCTTATAGAGACAGGACATTTTCCAGTCAAAGTGTCATTGAATTGAGGCAGCCTACATCTGTGAGGTAAACTCAGACAGTTCCTTGACATGTAAAGTGTATTGTCTCATTTGGGCCCAAAGCAAGCAACAGCTGAGCTTACAAAAAACCCTGATCAGGCTTTTTCTTTAAAAAACTTAGGTCAGAAGCATGTGTATTGAAGAGGAAAAACTTCCTCTTTCTTCCCCACCCCTTCCCTCTCCCCCTCACTCCAAACTCCTTTTTAAATTATATACTCTGAGGAAGAGTGCCCAGCTGGAAACACATCAGGAGTTGATAGTTTTGATTAAAAGAATTTTGTTACCCACTTGACTGAACTTTCTTCTGTTGTCACTTAACAGAAAAAGAAAGGGAGGGGAAAACCCCACAGCCAGGTGGTTACTCTTTACACATATGGAGGAGTAAGAAACAGAGAAAAAGGAGCACCAGAAAGTGTCGAGCAGATGGCAGTTCTGGCAAATCTTTCCTTTATTTGAGGGTTTTGCGTGCCCCTGTGCTCTCTTTGGTCCCCCTGCCTCGCTTCACGCCGATTTCCAGCATGCTGTGATGTAAAATAACACACCTCGACGTAATCCGGTGTAACACAGATCAAGTGGAAAGAAAAGGCCTCTGGGTCTCATGCAGGGAGCGCCTCTTTCCCCGGCTTGCTGTCAACCCCTGCAAAACAGGGCTGAATTAAATTTATTGCAAGAGATATTGGCTACAGTGTCCCTTTGTATTTGGGGTGGAAGGGAGGGGAGGGAGAACAGGGAGAGAATAAATAAAATTTCCTGGAGGCGCATTGATTTTCACTGCTAGCCATCTGATAGTTAGAGAAAGATCTTGAGGAGTGGGGGGGGAGACAAACCCTGCAGGAAAAGTGCTCCACAACTCTTTAACTCACTTCTGGGAGGTGGGAGATGATTCTTTGTCTCTGGAAAGGAGAAGTAATGCAATGCACATCCATGCAAAAGTGCTTCGGTTCAGGTTTGTAGATTCTGCCTCTGGTTCATCCTCTTTAAAACAGAGCAGAAGAGTGGACATTGCAACAGGGAGGGAAGATAAGAAAGACTGTATTAAACATTTATTATTTGCCAGGATACCCTTATTAAAGGGATGCAAGCTGGCTGCACTAATTGGGACCAACAACAGCTTTCACCCTGAGCTGGTGCATCAAGTCAAAGCTCTTTCTGTTCTTGCTGGTGGGGGGGGGAATGATTGGTTTTTTTTTTTTTTGGCTGATATATATCCAACATGAACCCCCTTAACTTCAGCTGAGACTTGGGTTACCCTCAGTGCAAACCAAGGGAGGAGGTTTTAACTAGTGCAACACACAGACAGACAGACACACCTCTCCCCACTTAAGCAGCGAGTCATTTACTTCACAGCGAGAGCCAAAGAACATCAGGAGTATTCTGTCTATACAAGAATTAACCCAAGTCTCTGTCACAAAAACAAACAGACTCTTTTATTTTGCCCCCCACCAGGAGGTGGGAAGATTAGCTTCTCTCTTCAAGTGCTGTTGACCTGATTTTCTTTCCCTGCTTGTCACTAATTAGCAATAAAAAAGCCACACACATACCCAGTAATTCAAGGTCTTTCAGCTCTGATATTTTCAGAGGCAAAAGCGAGCTGGATTTTTCCATTCTGTTAAGGGGCCAAAATATACAGTCCAGAGGGATGAACTCTATTAATGGTCTAAAGACCCATTTCAGGAAGACCTTCTTGACTGAGAAATAAGACTTGCAAATGAAGCCTGTCTTTATGTCGAGACAACCAATCAGAACACGAAGCAAGTTAACCTGAAACTTACAGCTAAGATAAATTCCAGCTGTGGCAATCAGATGTTTTCTGTGGTTGAAGAAATTTCTCTTCTAATGACAAGCTATCTGTAATGTCTATTTTGGCTGAAATGCTGCACACAAAATAGTGGTAGTGACTGTGTTGAGATTCCGCTAAAGCAGAGTTTAGATGTGCTGTTTATCTAGCCCTGTGTATTGTGCTGGTTGCCTTGACACCCAGGATCAAGGATCTATTTTGTTTCAAGATGGCATAGCCACCAGAAAATGCTGTAGAAAGCTGTAAAAGTGTACCTGCCATATACTTTGCCCGCGGCGGGAGCTGGGACAAGCGACGGGCGCTCCCTCCATCGCGTGGATTCAATCTTATGACTGCTTGGTCTTCTGACCCTGCAGCACGGGGTTCTGTGGTTTAGCCCGCAGCGCCACCACATCTCTGGAGAAAAAGCTGTAGAGAGCTGTAAAAGTGTACCTGCCATATACTTTGCCGGCCTTTTTACCTTGATTAAATTAAAGGAAGTTTTCCTGTGATTGACAGAAAATAGAAATTACTGCTTACTTGATATGCTACTACCCAACCAGCCATCAGTATACAGTATGTACTTTTGAATTAGTCATTCATAAGTCTTTAGGAGGTGAAGTGTTTTGGCCATCACGAGCCAAATCAGTGACATCAAATGCTAGCCCAGCTCACCTAGGTATCCTCTGACGATACCATTTGTTTTTGTATTGTGCTGCATTACTCAGAGTAGCTAGCAAACTATCTTTCTACTGTCTTTCCAAGAGCTAGAACTACAGTTTTGCTTCCTTTATATTGATCTTTATTTTAACTGCCTTCCGTGCTATTGGGTCTCAGCTCTGAGAGTCAACTGTGCTCTGATTTTCTTCTACTGTTTTTCCATATGGCATTTTCTTTACGTGACTCTCTGTTCTATTCTGGAGACCAGCTTATGTTTCTTGGGCCAGAATTTCCCTTTGCCCTTTCCTGCTGAATAGCCTTATTGTTCTGCCTCCCAGAAAGACCTTCTACACCCAGAAAGAAGGCTTTAGCATTGAGCCCCAGCACCAGGCTCCAAATGACCAGGAGAACCATATGAATTCTGAGGGCACACAGACACTCTGTGACCCCCCCTCTATCAGTTGTCCCTGTCCAGAACTCTATCAGTTCTGGACAGAGGACTTGAAGAAGGATGCCAACAAACTGGGGCAAGTTGAGAGTTTTTGGGTAACGAAAGGGTAACTCGTTTTAAATATTATTTAAACTGAAACTATGTGTTAACTGTTAGAAAGAAGTTGGAATTTCATCATATAACCTTATTGCATTGAGGAAAGATACAAGAAGCAGCACTGAAGCAGCTCTCTACTCAGGGTGGGAAAGGTTACAGGCAGACTCTCCCTTCCCTCTCTTTCCAAAACATTTTGTCCCTTAGAAGAGGGAGAAGTGGAGGAGGAAGTCACATCACACCTTCTCTGTTTTTGCCCCCCTCATCGGTGGTGGTGGGGGTGTTAACCCTAACATTTTTATTAATGATTTGCATGTGGGGGTGCAGCAAATACTTATCAAACAAATCTATACCTAGGAGTAAGAACACAGCAGGATTTATTTATGAGTCAATCTGCACCTGTCTGCACCTTATGCAAAGGTAGTGGTATTCTTTAAATCAAAGAGGTGCCCTTTTGTGTTCTCTGCTAGACATCATATAGATGCACCTCTTCGGTCCCATAAAACTGAATACTGATGTTCTGGAGCTATTGCTGGTATCCAGAAGCATTTAGTATCGAGCAGGGAAGGCAAAGAGGAGAAGGAAAACAAAAGAAAGGTTTGGAGGGTGGCGATTGGTTTTTTCATGAATTCATGACACTGGTTTCTGCTCTTGAAAGGTCAAAACAAGGATGACAAGGCAGAGGAGTAAGAGAATAAACGGGGTTTTCCTTTTTTCCAAGAAGGCTTTATTGTGGGCACCCAATTTAAACTCAAAGGACAATTTAGCAACAACAGTTAAAAATATAACCCCTCCAACTTCAACTGCACAGAATTAGATTTGGGGGCTCACTAACAATTAACCAAACCCATTAACTCTTTCCTTCTTTTTTCCGCATCTCTATATATACCATACTCACCCACCTTGCCTGTCTGGCATCACAAGGACCCACCCTCGTGACATTACAAGGGGCTACGCCCTTCGGATTTGGGGCCAAGCATCTCAGGTGATTGAATGCGGATTCCCTTGCAACCCTCGTCAACACAATCTCTTGTATTTCCCTAAGACTTCCCCAATCCTTGCAACCCTCGTCAACACAATCTCTTGTACTATATTTCCCTAAGACTTCCCCAATCTACTCATTGTCTCATGCCCTTACTGCTACCGCCCTGTCTTTTCTAAGCCTTACAGCCTTGTGTCTCTCCTTGCTACCTAATATCTCTGCCCAAGTAATGCTTTTATCCTCACTTGCCTTTTCTTTCCAAGCAGTTTCAGTCAGCTTTGAACACATGGTGCTTGTCCTCCCTGCCTTTCTCTCCCTCCCTCTTTCCTTCCTCCACATACCTAGCCTTTCAAGCTCTACACTTAGCTTCCAAGAACAGAGAGTCCTTCAGCTGCATGTTTCTGCAGTGCCATGGGAGTGTTCTTTCTAAACAGTGGCTGCCTTTTCAGTAGAGCAGGCTAATCTGTGGGGTTGTGCTGTTGCACTTCAGCCATTTTCTCAACTCTCGTCAGGTCTAGAACATTTTAGCATGCAAATCCAGCTGTGAGCCCTTCCCTCGACAGAGCAGCAGAACAACGGGACTGTTTCCAAAGAAGTAGCCATCTTAGTCTGTCTCAGTGTGTAGCAAAACTGAAGGAGGAAAAGAGAAAGAGGCAAAATATTGTGATTTACTTCAGCGTGTGCTACACTACAAACTCTTTTGCACTTCTTGCATTTGAAGAAGTAGCTTTTAACGTCTCCAAACTCACAGTGAAATAGGTTTTAAAGTTCCACAATACTTTGCCTTCCCCCCTTCACCCCTTACTTTTGCCAACAGAACAACAGGGCAGAGGAATGCGGATGTATGGTTTTAGACTACAACTCCCAGAATTCCTTAGGCATCATGGGCCATAAACATACTAGCTGGGGCATTCTGGGAGTTATAGTCTGAAGCTCAGTGGGTATAATGGACTGAACTACTTCAGCCTAAGTGTCACATTTTTCAATGCTGCCCCCACCACAGATGGGGGTGTTGGACTACAGCTCCCAGAATCACATAGTCCACCATAACATCAGGGATGTAGATTTGACCCTAGGCCTCCCCAGGTTAAATCTCAATAAAAAAAGCAATGGTGTTTATATGTTTGCATCCTTTTGTAAAACAGGGGTATACAATATAACCCATTGTGCCACCTTATCCCATTCTATTTACTAACTTCCTACTTTTAGAGAGTTTTGTTTTGTTTTTGCTTTAAAGAAAAATAAATAAAGGGGAATCATTCTTAAATATTCCATAATAGTTCTCTGAACTGGTATACAATCCATGCTAATATTTTTCAGGATTCTCCAACCTCATTCTGTGTTAAAGATGTCAAAAGAGGCTTGAGTTTTGTTTTCTCTTGCAGGGGCTCTGCAGAGTACAGCACCTTCTTCTCTTTTTCATTGGAAAAACATCTACTTCTGCTTCATTGACTATGCAAAAGCCTTTGATGGTGTGGACCACAGCAAACTATGGCAAGTCCTTAAAGAAATGTGGTTCAAAATTGGGAAAGGAGTATGACAAGGCTGTATATTGTCTCCCTGCTTATTTAACTTCTATGCAGAATACATCATGCGAAAGGCTGGACTGGAGGAATCCCAAACCGGAATTAAGATTGCCGGAAGAAATATCAACAACCTCTGATATGCACATGATACCACTCTGATGGCAGAAAGTGAGGAGGAATTAAAGAACCTTGTAATGAGAGTGAAAGAGGAGAGTGCAAAAAACGGTCTGAAACTCAACATAAAAAAAACAAACCAAGATCATGGCCACTGGTCCCATCACCTCCTGGCAAATAGAAGGGGAAGATATGGAGGCAGTGACAGATTTTATTTTCTTGGGCTCCATGATCACTGCAGATGGTGATACCAGTCACGAAATTAAAAGATGCCTGCTTCTTGGGAGGAAAGTGATGACAAACCTAGACAGCATCTTACAAACCAGAGACAGCACCTTGCCGAGAAAGGTCTGCATAGTCAAAGCTATGGTTTTTCCAGTAGCAATGTATGGAAGTGAGAGCTGGACCACAAAGAAGGCTGACCCCCGAAGAATTGATGCTTTTGAATTGTGGTGCTGGAGGAGACTCTTGAGAGTCCCCTGGACTGCAAGGAGATCAAACTTATCCATTCTGAAGGAAATCAACCCTGAGTGCTCACTGGAAGGACAGATCCTGAAGCTGAGGCTCCAATACTTTGGCCATCTCATGAGAAGAGAAGACTCCCTGGAAAAGACCCTGATGTTGGGAAAGTGTGAAAGTAAAGAGGAGAAGGGGACAACAGAGGATGAGACGGTTGGACAGTGTCATCAAAGCTACCAACATGAATTTGACCAAACTTATTCTGTGTAGTTTAACACCATTTTTGGGGAATGCTGCACAATAAAGATGCCATTCTGTGCAAAAGTGTAACAAACCAGAGCAGTTTCCCATCTCTCCTGACCATCCCAGATGAATCCTGTGCAGGACAGATGCAAAGGCTTTTACAATTCCTGTGTAGGATTTGTAACATTTGCACCACTTGGCATTTCTTCCCCCAAAAAATCCTACAAGCTTTCCCATGAAGCTCCTCGGGAGAAAAAAAAACTTGCCTAAAGCAATCTCGCTGAGAGAAGAAAAAAGAAAGAAAGAAAGGCTGAAATCTATTCAGAAATCACACAAC